GATTTGCTCAAGCGGGCCCAGTAATGTCTCCATTTCTTTGAGACTTGTTGTTACTGTGTTTGGCATATTGTAGCTTGCCAGGCTTTGCCGTGCAGGCGAGACACTCTTGGTAGTTTGCCGGGCTCTCCAAGAGGGGCGGAGGAATCGAACCCGGCTCGGCCGGGACTGGCTGCGCACAAGGCAAACGCCCTAACGCTGTGCTATCGCAAAAAAGAAAAGCAAAAAAAAAAAAGAGAGAGAGAGAAACATCGTGGAAAGAACAGAAGTTTCAGGGAGCAACCACAGACATGCAGATAGAGGAAGGGGAGTAACGGGAGACAGGACAGGAGGCTCGGGTCACAGCCACGTTACGAAGTCTGACTCAGAGAGAGAGAGAGAGAGGAAGGGGCTGGAGGCTTGGGTCCGAGACCTGGCGCTGCATGGGGACCTGGGCACTCCCAGGTGTGAGCTCCTAACACCAAGCCAGAAGAAGCAGACCCCTGCCCCACCCTCCGCTCTCCGAGCCAGGTGCGACGCTGGGCACACACGCAGAGGAAGTCTGAAACTGAGGCTGGGGGAAACCAAGGGACCCCAGGTTCCGTCCCCGGCCCCATCCCGCCAGGCTGTGCCGGAGACACAGCGCAGGCGGCAAGGTAAGTGCTCGCCTTGCGGACGTCCAACTCGGGTTCCATCCCCCACACCCCATGGTACCCTGAGCAGCACCAGGAGTGACCGCCAGTGAGAGCCAGGGGTCGGCAGATCCCAGCACTGTGTGACCCCCCCCCACCCTTCCCAAAGCACGGCAGCATGTCACACCCACTCGGATGACTGAAATCACAAGTCAGGCGCTGACCAGGATGTGGAGGAATTAAAGCCCGTGCGACCTCGGCGCGGCCTGGCAGTTTGACAGACGGGCCCGGGAGAGAGCTCAGCGGGTCCGTCGGAGCACGGGCCCTGCGTGCCGAGACACGGGTCTGAGCCCCTGCGCGCCACCAGGCGTGGCCCAAAGGCAGATGTCTCTCCTTGCAGAGACAGGCGAGATGAAGTCAGTGTGCAGGTTCCCACAGAAACCCGAGTAGTGGAGCAGGTAAGGCAGGGCCGGCCCGGGCTCCATCCCTGGCACCTCACACGGGCACCCCAGCCCGTCAGGAGGGATCCCTGAACACCGCCAGGTGTGAGCCCAAGGCTGAACTTTAAAACAAGGACAACGTAGTGCTGGAGCAAGAGCACAGCGGGTGGGCACCGGCCTTGCGCCCGCCCCCCATACAGCCCCGAGCCCGGCCGGGAGTGGACCCTGAGTTCAGGCAGGAATAAGCCCTGGCTACTGCGAGGCGTGGCCTCCACCCACTCCAAGAAAAGGAGCCAGAGAGATAGGACAGCAGGTAGGGGACTTGAATTGCACAAGGGCAAGCCAGATTTGCCGTTCAGCATCCCACACGGTCCCCTGAGCACCGCCAGGACTGATGGCGAGCACAGAGACAGGTGCGAGCCCTGAGCATTGCCAGGTGTGCCCCAAAACAAAACACAATTAAACTGCACACAAATGCGTGTAACAGCATTATTCGTAAGAATCCAAAAAAGGGGAGAAACCCAAATATTCATTAGCTGAAGATTAAAAATAAAAAATCCCTATCATAGTTTGTCAGAATAGTATTGTCATTAAAATGGGAATACTGTGGAGAGGTAACACAGTGAGTGAGGAGCCTGCCTTGCAGGTGATCCATCCGGGTTTGATCCCCAGTAACACACGGGGTCCCCCGACCACTGCCAGGAGTGACCCCTGAGCAGGGCCAGGAGAAAGCTCTGAGCACTGCTGGGGTGCGGCCCCAAAACACTAACAATGGTAAGTGCAATAACATAAACCTTCAAAGCATTAACCAAAATGCCATGTCTTATGATTCCATTTAGACGAAAGGATGGAAACACACAAGTCAAGAGACAAAAAGAAGTCTGGTTCTCCGGGGAGGAAGGAACATGGGGCAGGGGGAGGGTGCAAGAGGGGTGCGAGGTTCCTTTGGGGGCTGATGTGAATGTTCTAGAATTCAACGAGGGTCGCACGTGAATGGACCCCTTGAACTGTACGTTTAATGGGTGAACGGCCTGGTGTATCACACTTCAGGAAGGCTGTTACAAAACAGAAGATTCCATTACACACCGTCCTGAAATGCAAAATAGTCTCAAAATTGAACATCGCATCTCGCTCATTTTAATAGTTTTTATTTGGGGGGTCGGGGGCAGGGCCTGGGAGCAAACCGAGGGGCTCGTACAGGCAGGTGGGTGCTCCACCTGTAAGTCACCTCCACGGCCCACTCACTCACGCCGAAGGACCTGAACTAGGGCAGCGAAAACCCAGAGAGATTCTGTTACTTAACATGCTGGGTACTAGGTCATACTGAAATATTCATGAGGATTTCCACGTTTTAATAGAGAAAAGGCATCTTGAGCTTAAAAAGACAGCGGCAGGGAAGAGTTTTCAGAACTCTGGAACAGAACAGCAGAGGATGTCATGCAACGACACACACACACACACACACACACAGACTAGGACCCTTAACAGAAAAATGATACCCCTGAACTACTGTTCTGAAAAAGCCAGGGCTAAAACAGGCCAATTAAAAATTTATTTCTAAAACATCAGTTTGTGGCAAATCACAGTATCCAAAATTTTACCAAAGAACTGAACTGCCACATTCCCGGTTATAGCAAGACCTAATAATTTATCTTTTATTCCACAATAGGTACTAGAGGGAATCATCTCCTCAAGGTGGCTGTACACCAAAGTGACCCCAAAGTGAAAGATGTCATAAGCGTAAAAATCAGATCACGGGCCAGGGAGACAGTTCAAAGGGCACGGTTTGCCCGTAGGAGCCCCGGGTATAAGAGTGGCCCTGGAGAACCAAATCCAGAACAGTCCCACATCTGCCAGCTCTGGGTACAGCGGGTAGAGTGCTCGCCCTGCACAGAATCCCATCCTCCGCACCCCATAGGGTTCCCGAGGCACTGCCGGGAATGACCCCCGAGGGCAGAGCCAGGAGGAAGCCCTGAGCACCACCAGTGTGGCCCGAAAGACAAAACGAAAAACTAAACAAAAACAAACTGCCAGCACTGTCTGGTATGACCCAAAAGTCAAAAAATAATTTTAAAAAAATCCAACAATGCTTTTTAAAAGGCTGTTTTTCCAACTCTGAATCTAACGCCACACTGTGTACAAACAGGCCTAGATGCTGATGGTGCACTCAAAGTAACAAATGACCAAAAATCTTTTAATATGGTGGGCAATAAGACGTCACTGATGTGTCTACTACAATTCATCAGGCTTGGGCCGGACAGAGTCCAGGGGGTCAAGTGCTGGTCGTGCGGCCACCAGTTCGATCCTCAGCACTGTAGACGGTCCCCTGAGCCCCACATCACCAGGAATGATCCCTGATCACAGCTGGGTGTGGCAAAAAAAAAATTCCCATCAGGTTTTATGGGGCGAGGGAGGCGGCAGAGAACACATAAGCCTTGTCTGTTGCATATGGCTGGGGGTTGCCCCCTGAACAATAACAACAAAAATGAACCAGCAGACTTCAGTGAATCCTACAGCACCAACAATCAAAAACAAATACAGACGAAGCACATTCTGGATCTGGCCGAGAGGAGCGACTCTAGCCTCGACGCCAAGCTCAGCCCAGTCTTCGGTGCGCTCGGTGACATCCACCACAAAATGCTGTGCTGAGGGGCCGGGGCGAGGGCGCACGGATCCCAGCACCCCACATCACGGACCCGGGGGCCTCGCCGGGGGTCTGACACAGAGCCAGGACCCAGCCCTGAGCACCACTGGACGTGGCCCCAAAACAAAAGACAACAACAACAACCAAAAAAACCCCTTGTGCTTTGAGGCTTCCTATGGAACTCCAGGCACAGCTGTTGTTTTCCCACTCGGGCGACCTCCGGGAGCCAAAGTTCCAGCGACTTCATCCTCTCCAACAAGCACCGCAGACCCCGCAGCGTCCCTGGTCCCCCCAGTCCTCGAATCCGCCTGCGTCCAGTCCACGCAACGCCCGGAGAGGGGGCTCTGCTCGGTGCAAGGCTGCGCTTGCCCGGGGGGCGGCTCGCGTCTCGAGGGGCGCGCGGGGCACCCTCCCCTCGCCTTCTCCACGGAACCCGGGGCACAAAGCGACGGCTTCCACTTCATCACGCTCCTGTCCAGCCCGGCGGGCCCGGGTGTGCGGCCAGAGTTCCGCCAGATAAGGACAATGACGCGCATTCTTGCGGAGAGCGACCGAGCCCGCGAGGAGGACGCGGCTTTCGCACGGGCACCCCGGGCGGGAAAGGCGCCGGGCCGGGGCCTAAGAGTCCTGCGAGGGTCGCGCGCGAAGCCCCCCGCCCCCCACCCCGCCCGACCCCCACCCCACCCCCACCCCAGGCCGGGCGGAACGCACGACCCGAATCGCCTCGGGGAAAGCCAGCACTCCGGCTCCGCTCCCGCGCCGCCACGAGCCACTTGCAACTGTCGCGCTCCCGCGGTTGCAACAGTAGCGCGAGGACTTCGGCCGCCCCAGGCCATATATAGGAGGCGCCGCCGCGGCCACGAGGCGGCAGGGCGACGTCGCCTTTTCCAGCCGGCGAGCGCCCCGCGAGCGCTCCCAAAAGGCGGCGGCCCCCCGCCCCGCCCGGGACCCCCCGCCCGGCCCCCCCCGAGCGCCCGCTCGCTCCCAGGCCCGCGGGGCGACCGGGCGGGCCCCGCCGGCTCCTCCCGACGCGAGCGCCAGCCCGCGCGCCCGCCACCCCGGGCCCCGGGCCCCCCGCGGCCCGCCCGCGACCACCGGCTCCCCCCCGCCGCCCCGCGCCCCCGGCCCAGCCCCGCCCCGCCCGGGCCCCGCGCCCCCGGGCTGCGCGCCCCGACTCCCGCGGCCCCGCCCCGCCCGCCGACACCCCACCCAGGCGGGCGGGCCCGCAGCCCCCCGCCCGCCGCCCCGCGCCCGCGCCCGCGCCCGCGCCGGACCCGCCCGCCCCGCTCGCGCGCGCCGCGCACCCACCAGGGCCCGGTGCCGGAGGCGCCGCCGCGGTCCGCGCTGCAAAGCCGGCGAAGCCTCCAACCGCCGCCGCCTCCCGCCTGGCACTGAGCGCCGCGCGGGGGAGGGGCGCCGGCCGCCGCCGCCGCCGCCGCCGCCGCGCGCAGGCCCCGCCCCCGCGCCGCGCCGCGCCCAACCGGGGCCGCCGCGCCGCGCCACGCCCACTTCCGGGGGGCAGCCCGCTTCCCGCCCTCGGCCCCGCCTCGCGCTCGCCGGCGCCCCCTCCGGCCGCGCCGAGGCGTGCGGGCGCCGCGGGCGGGGGGCGGCGCCCCGCGAGGCCACGCCCACGGGCGCCTCGGGGCCCCGGCGGGAGGCTTCGGGCGCCGTCGCTCGGTCTGCGGAGCCGCGGACCCCCGATTCCTCGAGGCCGCTCCCGGAGCCCCCGGAAGACCGAACGCCAGGGCCTCCCAGCCCCGCCCTCCCTCGGGCGGCGTCCGCCGGGGCCCTGAGCCCCGCCGCCCTCCCTCGCCGCCCCCGGAAGACCCGCCGCCCACGGCCCGGCTAAGCCCCGCCCCTGGCCCTCGAGGCCCCGCCCCTGGCCCGGAAGCCCCGCCCCTAAGTTCTAGAGGTCCCGCCCTGAGCCTAAAGGCCCCGCCCCTGGTCCTGGAGGCCCTGCTCTGATGATTGTAGGAGCCCCGGCCCAGTCCTAGAGGGCCCCACCCCTGATCCAAAGGGCGCCCCCGCTCCTGACGCTGAGACCCCGCCCCTGGTCCTAGAGGCCCTGCTCTGAATGTAGAAGCCCCGCCCCTGGTCCTAGAGGTCCCGCCCCTGAGCCTAAAGGCCCCGCCCCTGGTCCTAGAGGCCCTGCTGATTATAGAAGCCCCGCCCCTGGTCCTAGAGGCCCCACCCCCGATCCAAAGGGTCCCACCCCTGACGCTGAGGCCCCGCCCCTGGTCCTAGAGGCCCTGCTCTGATGATTGTAGAAGCCCCGCCCCCGTCCTAGAGGCCCCACCCCTGATCCAAAGGGCCCCGCCCCTGATGCTGGGGCCCCGCCCCTGGTCCCAGAGGCTCCGCCCCTGACTCTAAAGGCCCCCGTCCCGATCCCACAGGCCCCGCCCCTGACCCCAAAGACCCCGCCCTTATTCTAGAGGCCCCGCCCCTGACGCTGAGGCCCCTCCACCCTGGTCCCACAGGCCCCGCCCTGACTATGTAGAGGCCCCGCCCCTGGTGGCATAGGCCCCGCCCCTTGCCCCTCCTTTCCTTCGGTGCCACTGTCGCAGTCCCAGTACCGGGGTGGGGCTGTTCCCTTAGGCCCGCCGCTCGGTCTTGGGAGGGTCCGTCTGGACCCCGTTTCGCCGGTGAGGAAGTGAAGGACACAGTGCGCTCCCTCCCTTCTCCTAAGTCCCCCCCCCTCGCGTTTGCTTCCTGGCTAGGCGCCGCCTCTCCCGCCCCCGCCCCCACCCCGCAACCCCTCCCCAGCCCGCCCAGCCGCTCTGCCGCGGCTGTGTCCTGGGGCGCTTGCCTGGGCTCCGCAGGCTCCGGCCTTTCCCCGTCTTTACTATTACGTGCTCTCGTTCAGTAGCCGCTCGCCTCTTCTGCAGTGTGGAGATTTTAGAAAACGAGCCCTAAGGAATCGAATAAACTAAGCTGGGAGCCGCGGACAAGGGTGCGGTTTACTTCCCGGAGCCAGGATCTTTGCAAGTGCGGGTGCGGTAGGGGAGGGGTGTTCGTTTGGAAAACGTCAGCCTCAGAGGAACAAAAAGAAGTCCCCTTGCATCCAGGCAGTTATCACAGCAAATTGGGCTTCTAAGCCCTCAGTCAAACAGGGACAGGGCCGACCCCCGGAAGGGTTCCACCGCCTTTCCTACAGGTCAGGTCATCTGTCTGGATTACACGCAGCGATGAGCTGCAAGGACCCTCAATTCCTTGAGGGTCAGGCTCCTGGCCACAGCAAGGTCTGCCACTCTGCTTACATAACACGGGGATGACCACGCTCCCTACCGTGCCAAGGGGGGACAGGCACAGAAGCTATGGTTATCCTGATTCTGAGACCTCCTCCTCTGTGTTCAGAAACAGGACCCCGTGGCTCTTGGATTAGTTTGATCCCGGGTTAATCAGGTTCCCGCAGGCACCCAAGAAACCTGGACTGTTCCCTCGGCCCTTCGAAGAATGAAAATTAAGGGGTTGATGCAGAATCCGGGCTATCAAGCGGAAGATGAATTCTGACTGGGAAGGGGAAAACAAGAAACCCGTCCCGAGATGACAAGAGCCCCTTGTCATCTGCTCTTTGTCCTGTGACTCAGCCCCTCCGCATCATGTGAGTTTCCGTCCTCTCTCCTGGAAAACCCGGTCCCTGGCCCGTTGCTGCCAGGGAGCGAGAAACCTCCCTCGCTTGACTTTTGCTTCCTCAGCTCCCGCTTGCCTCTGTGTGATCCCAGTATGTAGAAAATGAGAAGTTTGGTTTTTCTCTTCCTAATCAGTCTGATGCTGATTTGATTATTCAGCCAGTCTGAGAAGAAGCCAAAGGGCTGGGGGAAGTTTTCTCTCCCCGCTCCCCATTCAATTCTTGCCTTGAATGAAACAGAGACACTGAGTTATGAGTGGGCTTGGGAAAAAGAAGGAAAAGGGAGCCCAGGAGAGAGCTGAGGGCACAGGAGTCTATGGTGCCGAGCATGGCTAGGGCCCCAAGTTTCATATCGGCGCTGCCACTCCCCAGAACCACCTACAAGCATTGCTGGCCTGGCCTGCTTCCCCCCCACAAAGAAAAAAGGTGAAGAAACTATTTGAGATGAACTTGGAAACCAAGTTGCCGGTACTTTTTGGAAACAGAGTATAGCTAATGCTTATCCATCTTTTTGTAGACCCTCCTTAATCATACCGTAAAGACAATTTTTTGATTGGGTCAACCCTGGGAGGTGCTCAGAGGTTACTCCTGGCTCAGTGCTCAGGGATCTCTCCCAGTAGTACTCAAGGGGCCATATGATACTGGGAATCACACCCACATATTCGAGCCAGACCCAGTAGTGCTTGAAGCTGACCATTCCTAGAGATTCTCAGAAACCTCGTGGTGCTGGGCATCGAGCTGGGATTGGCTGCATGCAAGACAAGCACCTTAACCCTTATGCTACCCTTCTGGTCCCCAAACAGGGTTTTGGTGGAGGATTTTGGCGGGGGGTGGGGTGGGGAGCCATACCTTCTAGTGCTCAGTGCCCAGTGCTCAGAGGTTCCTGTCGCAGTGCTGGGGAAATAAGGTGGCATTCTGCGTGCAAAGCATGGCTCTAGTCACAAAAACAGTTCACTCCACCCATCAGGATGGAAAATCAGAGAGCCAGAGACGTTCAAGCACTGGCTAGGTTCGCAGCACGTGCCCAGCCTTGCTCTTCCTTGTCTGCATGCCTGGCCAGTTGGCCATCCCCTGAAAATGCCTGTGTGGCTGAGTGACCGGAAAGAGCACGGGCTTTGGATTCAGACAGACTTGGTGTTACATTCGGGCTCCGGGCCCTTGCAGCTGTGTGACCTTAGCAAATCGCTTCCCCACGCTGAGTCCTCTTCCTCTCAAATGCTGACATCAAGGATGTAATTTTGAGGTTCAGGAGTTTCAGGCCAGGGATATGTTCTGTGGCAGAATCCCAGCTCTGTAGGCATGAGAGCTCCGATACCAATGCCCGGCTTGGCAGGTCAAGCCTGACCCTGTCCTCGTGACTCCAGCTACGACAGGCAGGACCCACCACACAGCACAATGTCCCTGGGCGTTGCAGCCCTGGTGACACTCAGATACTGCTCCAACAGCAAAGAGAAACTGGTTCAGCTGATTTGGGGCCCCACCGAGCGGTGCTCAGGGAGTACTCCTGGCAAGATTCAGGGGATAAAATTCATTTTAATGTTTTTTGGGGGCCACACCCAGTGGTGCTCAGGGCTGACTCCTGGCTCAGTGCTGGGGGATCACTCCTGGAGGTGCTCAGGGGATTGTATGTAACACCAGGGTCAACCACGTGCAAGGTTAAGTTCCTTACCCTCTGTTCTGTCTCTGTCCACACACACACAAAAAGACACACCTGGTCTTTTTCTTTTTCTTTTTTTCGGCTTTTTAGGTTACACCGGCAATGTACAAAGATTACTCCTGGCTCTGCCCTCAGGAATCACTCCTGGCAGTGCTCAGAGGACCATATGGGAAGTAGGGACCAAATGTGGATCAGCTGTGTGCAAGCCAAATGCCCTCCCAGCTGGATGATCACTCCAGCCCTTGATCTGACTGGGTTTTTTTTTCTTTTTTTTGCTTTTTGGGTCACACCTGGCGATGCACAGGGGTTACTCCTGGCTCTGCACTCCTGGCGGTGCTCAGGGAACCATATGGGATGCTGGGAATCAAACTCAGGTCGGCCGTGTGCAAGGCAAACGCCCTACCCATTGTGCTATCTCTCCAGCCCTGATCTGGCTATTCTTTTTTTTTTTTTTTTTTTTTTTTTTGCTTTTTGGGTCACACCCGGCGATGCTCAGGGGTTACTCCTGGCTCATGCACTCAGGAATTGCTCCTGGCGGTGCTCGGGGGACCATATGGGGTGCTGGGAATCGAACCTGGGTCGGCCATGTTGGCTGCGTGCAAGGCAAACGCCCTACCCCCTGTGCTATTGCTCCAGCCCCCAGATCTGGCTATTCTTGAACTCGCCAGAACTCTAGACCCAAAGAACCCTGGGCTAGGTGCATGCAGGCCTTGGGTTCTGGGCCTGACGCTGGAGTTGAGAATCGTCCAGAGCTGATGATTTCGCAAGGGACCTACTGACAGAGGCCAAGTGAGGGAGGACTGAATGATGGGGAAAGCTGAGGGTGATTCCAAGTCATAGGCAGGCAGGTGGTGGGAGTACGAAGCATGGCGGGACCTGCACTTAGGGCCCCCAGGACGGATCATTTTTCTTGTTTCTCTTCTTAGCAAGTGGGGACGTTAGTCTTGGGTTACCAGGGCAACCTGAAAGCCAAGAGAATCAGCTCGCTGGAAGCATTAACAAGTGGTAATAATATTAAATAAAGGAAAGTCTCGAAACCCCTAGAGTCATCTCAGTAAGGGAGACCCCTAATTGCGGGACAGAGGAGGCAGAGTTCA